ATTTTCTGAGGGTGCTCACACAAGCTGGGGTATGTACTTGGCTGGTGCTAGGATATATTGCCAAATGCCTATTCTTGATATGTGAGACCTAACAGCAGGTGCTAACAGGCTATATGACTGTAGACACTGCCGAACCCAACATCCACTCATATATGTGTATTCCCGCCTGGTTCATTGGACAATGACCAGCGGTCTAAAATTCCATCTAGTCTTAATCTTTAAGGTGGAGTAGAATATTGAAAAATTATTATTACATTCAGGTCAACTTAGAAGCTTTTTTTTAAAGAACTGTGAGAGAATGGCTTTCAAATTAAGACTTAAATTTTAAATGGTCTACAGGTTAAGACTAGATGGAATGTTGAGCCCCAGGAGTGGGGACTTGTCTAGGTTCGAGAGGTTTGGGTGCTTTATACATAGAATTACCCAGTAGTCAGTAGAAACCCGGTTGATAGTCGATTGGTGGATCACTTTCCTGGGGTGTGGGACCTGGACGCTGTGGGACACTCAATTGGCTGCCATGTTTCGCCCACAAAATGCAGTCAATTCACTTTACAATATATTCTGTGAAGCGCTTTGAGACATCTCAACAACGTGATGCAGCGCCATATCAAACGCAAAGATTATTATTATTATTGAATGATGAGAACAATTACCTTAGAAATATCATACCTTGCACTCTGAATCTGTGTGTAAAGATCACAAGCTCTCTGAGAATAATATCTCACATTCACCAGCTTCCTAGACCACTCTTTGGCTGACCGACTATGTTTCATTCTTGTTCCGGATTTATTTTTTTCTTATTCCATTGCATCAAATATATCAAATGCAAGGATTATTATTTGCTGTTTCTTCACATGAGCTGCCCGTCAGTTTCTTCTTGTGATTTGAAGGTTCTGCTTGTCTGCCGATGCCACAATACTAACTCGGAAAGGTAAGGATGATTGCAGCTGACTGGTTTGAAACACACTGCTTTATTGTTCTGGCAGTGCCCTGGAACTGAGACAAGAGCCTCAAAGGGATTAGAAGTCCAGGACCAACCCTCATTTGTCATTGAGGTCTCCTTTCTGCATTTCTTTTTGTTTTTAGACAAAAAATCCATTAATTTCTCTGTAATTCTTTTCTCTTTGACCGTGCCTTCAGCTCCCCTCTCGACTCTCTACCCCCCTCCTCGCTCCCTCCCTTCCCTCCCCTCACCCTGACCATTTCCCCCCTGCTCGGGTCCTGACCCAACTGTACAGCGCCTTGGGACGTCCTCCCGACGTGAAAGGCGCTCTATAAATGGAATCTTCTTGTTGTTGTTGTAATTATCAGAATTATCATATATATTCAGAGACATAGAATGCAAGGTCTTGCTTGACTCACAATAGGAGAATTGCGCAGCTTTAGCTGCCATTAAAGATATAAAAGCCATAAAAAAAGTTTGGATTTCAGGTTGTTACCAGGATTGAAAGATTTCAGTTATGAAGAGAGAATTGAGCGTAAAGGTTACGAGGTGCCTTGATAGATTTTAAAAGGGAATGAAAGGGAAATGAGTAATGGATTATTTTGTTTCATTGAGTCAATCATGAGAGGCACAAATTTAAGATAATCACAAAAGCCTTAAAGGGAAGTTAGAAAAAAATGATTTGGAGATTTGAGAGAACAGCGATTTTTCTGCCACAAATCATAGCTGAGGTTCAGCCATTAGATTATTTTAAAACACAATTTGAAAATGTTTGAAGAGAAAGAATGTTAAAGGGTACATACATAGCATTTACATAGACAGCCAAACTAGTCTCTTCCAATGTTTATACTCCACATGAGCCTCCACCCAACCTAATCCCCTCTCCCTTCTTCCTCATGAATTCATAGTTTTCTCATAAATACATTGATGTTTTCGGCTTCAATTACAACTTCTAGCAGTTCTTTTCATCATTCTTACCAGTGTCTGTGTAAAAAGTTCTTTCAGAACTCAAAAATGCAGTTATTTTGCTAAGCAGACAGGGGAAAGTGAGGATATTGGTGACAGGATAGTTAACTAGGTATTGGTGAGAAACTCACCAGCTTGTAGGCGAGTGCAGTCAGTTTCTCCCTCCCAGCTCCATACCTCCCTTCATCTCTGTTTCTCATGTTATCTTGGCTCAGTTGGTAGCACTCTAACTTCTAGGTATCAAGGTTGTAAGTCAGGACAGTAAGCTCATAGTCCAGGTTGACACTCCAGCACAGTACTGGAAGGATCACTGAACTGCTGCTAAACCTGACACAAATTGCCTTGCAGCATTTTGAGATGCTTTGACATTATACGCACGATAAAAATGCAAGTTCTTTATTTATCCTTCAGTATATTCATGCCTCTGACTTTCAACCTATTTCATCTCATCTCACATCTGTTCTGTCTGTTCCTCATTGGCACCTGTTTGTTTGTGTATTCTCACAGCTCATCCCTGCCAACCAGCACTTTGTGATTAGTTTTAAAATTGATGCTTTCGGGTTAAACATCAATTAGGAATTTTAAAAAGCAAGAGTTAAAGTAGGTGACAAAAACAGCGGTTGTATTCACCAAACATCTGAACTAAAGGAATTCCAGCATGGGTCACGTCCAAATCACCTGTACACATGGTTTATTTGTCACAGTACAGTTCAGGTATCCTGTAAACGAATACATCAAGAACTGATCATTTCTCTTGCATTGGAGACCAGGCTTCCTAAGATACAAGAATGAGTTGCCGCATAATACTTCTGTCGTTGTTGAAATACAATCTGATGTCAGCTTTATTTACATTTAAAGCTGTGTGACAATGTCAGAATGGTGTAAAGATGAGACCCTCGGTAAATAAAAAAAAGAGATTCACTAACATATGAAGCAGTATTAAAAAAATCTTCTGGCTAGTTGAGGGATTAGGAGCGTTTGTTGCATATAACCCTACCTTTAGCCAAACTCCAGTTTTCCTGACCTCAGAATAAACTTGAAATGGGAGCTACCTCATGAATTCCAGGGTATGTTAAAAGGCCGGGAGATACAATCACATAAAACCTCATTCAAGACAACCTGCTCCAAAACACTCTGAATGCTTCCTCATAAGGTATCACTATAAGCTGTGACATTTACAGCTGAGGTGGGTTAGTGCAAGTGGGGTTTCTCTGCTTTAACAATGCAGCAAATGTTCCACAAGGATTAAGGTACTGATATGTTTAAGAGATCAATGTTGCCATTGTCAACACAGAGCACTGTACTCACTCAACAGTTAGCGCTACTCTCAGCCTTTTGGCTAAGATCAAGTGTAGTATCTGTTTTTTTCAGTTACTCCTTGGGCTGTGCAGTTCCTGGCAGCGAGCGCTGCCTCAGGTCTCGGATTGATGTAGCCGCCACTTTTTTTTGAGCCTCCTCATGATTTATTCATGGAGGATAGATGCAGCCAGACGTAGGAATGCCAGCCCTCAGCCTCTGTTGGCTGCAATCAGTGTTGCAGCGCTGCCGATTCTAAGGAGTTTGATCTGCCCTCACAAGGAGGAGTGGAGAAACTAGGATGTGCGCTGATATTCAGTCAACAGAGACCGATACTTCACTAAACAGATAGCGATACACTCACTAAACAGAAGGCCCAATCAAAAGAGATTGTTTCTACTCATTCATCAGATAGCACTGCACTCACTCAACAGAGACTGCACTCAATGGAAGCCCCGTATTATTATAATAATAACCCTTGATTTGATATAGCGCCTTATCACGTTGGTTGAGACATCTCAAAATGCTTCACAAAATCAACTGTAAAATGAATTGATTGTATATTGTGTGAGCGAAACGCAGCAGCCAACTGTGCACAGCAGTGTCCCACAAGTAGTGGTGGGTTGAGGACTAAATTAATTTTTTTGAAGGGATTACAATGTCCTTGATCCAGCAATAAAAATGATTAATTCATTCCCATATAATGATAAATTTAGACATGTCCACTGAGATGGCAATACACTCGCTCAGCAGAGAGCACTACTCCATAGTCACCTTCCACTCACTAAGTATTTCCACTCACTCAACAGATAGCACTACAATCACTGGACAGAAAATGGAATACAATGAAGTCCCGTATCTAGGGAAGAATCATCTCCTTCATCCAGCAGTAAAAATGATTAATCCATTCCCATACAATGGTAAATTTACATATTTATCCAAAGGTTTAATTGATATTTCAAAAGAACACTATACAAAGGACACATTGGTCAGAATACCTTATTGCCAGTAGATATCACCAGCACATTTAGTTAGATCATATTTACCAAGCAGTTAAGTAGAAGGCCATGGGAGTAAGTCTCACCATCAGAATACCTTTAAAGCATTTCGAAAAAGATACAATAGAAAGAACAAGTTGGTCAGAATACCTTCCTGCTACTAGATATCAGCAGCACATTTAGCAAAATACATTTAAATACCTTTAAATACCTTTAAAGGGTATGTCTTCACAGACCCTTTAAGTACATCTTTAAAGAGGAAGTCTCTACATCAAGATCCCTTTAAGGTGGGGATCTCACTGCTAGAGTCTATTTCAGAAGAAATGGTACAAAGTTATAGGATCCTTGTTCAGCCACAACGTTTTGAACAAAAATATTCCAAAAGCATCAAAATCGCCAGAGAAAGAAAACAAAAAAATGTGAAACCCAGTTCCTTGTAACGGTTTGATTTGGGGTCTACATGTGGACATACTTTCATAGGGAAAGAGCCGGTGGCGGGAGACCCTCCACAATTAAATAGAAATGGGAAAATAAATAGAAAAGACTGGGTGGATGTAACTAGAGGTTTGTACATTGTAAATCACTGTCCACCCAGTCAGGAACAGATATGTCAGGCTGATCAATCCTTCCACTGCTCTTCACTCTTCCACCAAGCTCGGCCGAAGTGTCTGACTCGCTGCTCCACTGATTGTGTGAGGAAGAGGTGAGTGGGGTCAAGGATGAAACCAGTGTCTCCGACATGTTTATCTATCTGTATCTCTCTGTTCTCTTTCTCTCGCTTCCTTGATTTTCTTTTAAACACAAAATTGCGGCCTTCTGATTAGATGCTCACTAGCTTGTCGATCATACTGTGAAGGGAAGAAAAAACACAAAATAAGCTTGTTTAAACCCTTTGACAAATTGAAACAAGAATAAATTTGTAAACTGAAAAGAAGCCAACAAAAACTAAATCTATTATATGGCCAGTTGGACGAGAGATTGAACCGTCTCTCGGTTCAGGCGAATTGTTAATGATCCCGCAACATTATTGAAAGAAAGAAGGAAGTTTCTCCTGGTGAACAATATTCAGTGCAAAATTGCTGCTGTACCGGCCTATAAAAACAGTCACCACACTTACTGTGGAGTACTTGTTCCAAGATGTTTTGATGTTATAGGTGCTACTATATAACAGGTGCAACGATTATTAAAATGGAGCCATTCTGTCTCTAAGGTTTCACACTTCCCAAGAAGTCAGCATGCAACTCCACACACCATTGATCCTTCACTCTTTAGCAATGGGTAACCACTCAAAAACTAACAACACGGATTCTGCAATTCTCACAGTCGCCAGGCTGGGGAATGCGATTGGAATGAAGACCTCCTCTGGGAGATGTTGCAATTGCATAGTCATGATGGGGAAAGAGCAATGAGAATAGTCCTGTAGGGAATAGGCCTGTGGAGCCCTGTAGCGTATTGGTTAGAGCACTCGCCTCGCAAGTGAAAGACTTGGGTTCGATTCCCTGGTGGGGTGAAACCTTGAGCAAGAGTCCTTACTCCACATGCATCTGTTTACCTAGCAGTAAGTAGGAACCCGATTGTTAGTCAATTAGCCGATCACTTTCTGGGGTAATAATCCCTTCAAAAATACAAATAAATAAAAGTAATAATTTGGTAATTCAGTGTTTGTGGGACACTGGTGTGTGCAATGGTCTGCCGCGTTTTGCCCACAAATATACAGTCAATTCATTCTACAGTATATGCCGTGACGCACTATGAGACATTTCAATGACGTGATAAGGCGCTATATCAAATACAAGGATTACTAGTATTAGTAATAGGATTAGAATAAAGAGCTCCAGTGAGGGAGCTGGATAGGCATGAAAGGGAAAAGAGCAGGCACATGGCATTAGTGTAGATTACACCAGTGGGCACCTAGCACCATAAGACATTAGGTCAAATAGCCTTCTGTGCTGTAAAGATTTTGGGATTCCATGACTCCCATGAATGAGTGAGAAGTCCAGGGAGGGAGAGAGGGACAGAGGGGCAGCCTCACCTGTATAGGTAGAAGAAGAAGGACATCAAATAGAACGACATCTTGCACCAGGCCTCCTTCTGGCAGTAGTTCAGGGTCTCTTCATTCATCACTGCAGCAGGGTCATACATTAATTCATTGTGGTCCTCGGGGCTATGGAAGTACCTGGTACATAGGGAAGAGGAAGGCATGAGCGCTGGGGAAGCAGATGAAGTTGTCAGCTTGGCTCGGTTCATCGGCCCATCACCTCAAGCCCACACCAGAACTAGCCTAAAATAGCCAGTGTCCACTTCGCTCCCGACATGGGTGGAAATGGAACACACTGACTCTTTAATCTGATTATTCTGCAGACAACCCAAGTACTGCAGAACCCCTCCCCAGCACCACATTGTTAACTCCAGTGGCTGAGCTTGTTACCCTCTTTTGGAGCTGCAGTGTTATGCCTCTCTGGGGCCATAGCAACAACAACAACAAAATGCAACAAGTAAATTACAGTCATATAGTGCTGGACAACAGTAAACTACTTTTGTATTGCGCCTTTCATGTCAGAAGGACGTCCCAAGGTGCTGGACAGTGAAGGGTTTGCACCCGAGCTGGGGTTTAGAATCGAGAGGGCTGGAAGGTAGGGGTGTTGGGAGGTGGCCAAAGATCAAAGGGGACGGTTTTGAGGCAGGCCTTGAAGGAGGCAAGGCAGGGGGCCGTGGCAGAGGGATTCGGGATGGAGTTCCAGAAGTTGGGGGCAGATATTCTGTCTCTGGGGCCCTAGTGTTACCTCTACTTCCCCCACCTCATATAATGAGGCACATAGACTAATGAATATACATGCAGGAACATATAAATGGATGTGCAGACACACACACACATACAGGCAGTCCTCACTGAGCGGCTGAGAGATCCCTCCCTTCACACCATGTTCCAATGTTGGCAGTTGGCTACGTGTTTGAGTTGAACACCGAATGATGTGAATACCGATGGCACACAACATTGGCAGACTTACCTCCAGAGGTGGTAGAAGAGCAGCGGGATATTGAGACCCAGAGTCAGCCACTCCTGCGCACACAGGAACATGATACAGAATAGTCCGTGAATGGAAAACTCTGGCAGCACCAGCTACATCGGGAAAGAAATACACCTTTAGCGTCACAGTCACTTTCCTCTGAGCACCAGATAGACTCTTTGTTTCTTTTTTTTTTTGAAAATATATATTTATTTATAAATATAATCTTAGTACAACAGAAATCCCAAACAAACACAATGTACATCTTCTGTTACAAATTTTCCTTTTCTCCCGATTCAAAAACCATTCCATGGTTTACGGTGCATCGCTTCACCGCAAATAGGTTGTGCGCACGTTTTTTGGGACTCTCCCTTTAAAACAATCAGGAGTCGCCCCTGTGTACGCCATATCCACGTGGGCGCCCGCTCACACCCTGATAAGGTGCACTTGCCACTTTAGGAAGGTGCCCCGATGTGCACTGTACACGCATACGTTTACCATGCATACATTTTCGGGACGCTCTTTGGTTACATCTCGTGCGTCCTTCTGTGTCCTTACGTTTACTTCAGTCAGTTTTGGGCGCGTTCGTGGGCTATCCGGTGGGTGCGCCCTGAGCGGTTTGTGCCGGCGCGGCTCCTGCCGGGGTCAGGCCCCATCTGGCCTTTGCCGCGGTTGAGCCGAATTTTAGCTTGTCCCTCAGTATTTAGTCCCTGATCCTAGTGGGCACAATCCTGAGGCAGGCCCTCACTGTCTCCTCCTTCTGACATAAGAACACCTGATTTTGGGAAGGCTTAAGGGCCTCCTTTACCGAGTTTATGATCCTCCAGGCACACTCGATGTGATATTGAGTGCCTGGGAAGAGGCCATACAGCCCCGGGTGCCGTGACAGGGAGTCCCCAGGAACGAACCACGAGAGAATCCATTCCATCTTATTCCAAACTGCCTTTGCGAAACAACACTCCAGGAAGAAGTGGTCCATGGTCTCCTGGCCTCTGCAGCTGGCCCAAGAGCAACGTGCTAACTGGCCCACAACTTGAGCATGCATGAAAGCCCTGAGGGGGAGGACTCCTTTTACCACCAGCCAAGCATTGTCCTGATGGTTGTTGGTCAGGGCCGGTGACGAGGCATTTTGCCAGACGTAACTGGCCATCGCTGCAGGGTACCTCCCCATCAGGTCTGCCCTCTCCCCCTTTCGAACTGTTTCGACTACCTGCCGCACGGACCACTCAGTGATTGGCGGGGGTTTGGGACGATGTTCTTCAGGAATTTCTCAACATAGGATGGTTCAACTCTAACTGTGTGGAACATTTTGAGGCAGTTCTGCCAGACCCAGTCTTCTTAGCACCAGGTACAGGTAGAAACCCAGCACATAGAGGCATCTGTTGCCGGCATAGCGGGGCGTCAGGCACAGCCTCATGCAGCTACAAACAAAGGTGGCCATGAGGATCAGGGCTACATTAAGGATCCCTTTCCCCCCCCTTTCCGGGTCTCTGCAGACACAATCCATCTTAGACCCACAGATCAGTTGGAAGACCTCTCTGGTGACTGCAGTGGCATTGTTCTTGGTCAAAGAACCTATGACTGAGCTACAGAGATAGACTCTTTGTGTTAGACCAAAATTTTTTAATTTCCCCTTCTCTCTGTCTCACACACACTTGTTCTCTCACTCAATCAAGCACTAACTCTCTCTCTTTCTCTTACGCACATTCTACGCCTTGATTTGTTTAGCACTGCTCCCTTTCCCAGGCCACAGTACTACCCTCCCCTCCCGCACTGGCCACTGTGTTATTCCCATCCAGGTATCCCTCTTGACTCAGTGTTAGCAACCCCCACCACGGGCAAGGGTTTTTGCCCCAAATCCCTCTGAGGCTATAATGTTACACTCTTCCCTCCTCACATGGGCAGGGTTAATCCCCTGTTTCTCTGTAACTCTTCTCTCTATCTCTCTCTCACACACACACACACACACACTTACACTCTGTGCGTGTGGGTGTATATCTCTGACAGAAATTGATTAAGGTTTCAGCTCTCTGAGACACTATCCTATGTGAATGTCGCTATATAAATGGAAGTTTGTTTGCCAGGACTGTGATCAATCAGTGCCAGCTTTCCTTCCATACTTAGTTAAAATAACTTTGCTACTTTGACCACAGGATGTTCACATACTTGCAACACCTCTCCCCATTATCTGCCATTCTGGCCAACAATCCTCCAAATAAAATCAAACAAAATTAGTCATTGATTTCATGAATGTGGGTCATTGTCTGTGAACGCGGCAACCCATTGGTACCAAGCAGTGATTGCACCTAACAGTAAAGCTCTTTGAGAGTCCTCCTGACATGAAACACACTATACCAAATGCAAGGATTATTATTACTATCTTTCATCTCCTTTTCCCATCACCTCCAACCTCTTTGACATCCCAGCTCCAATTTCCTCCATCTCCACTATTCTTCTTCCTACTGTAGCCTCAACAAGTGTGGGTAGGTATCCAAACTACACCCTCCAAATGCAAAAAGGGTAGCTTTTACCAAATCATTTTGAGTGAGTGTCAATTTGATTTCCCTGACAGTCCTTGCAATGTGCCGAGCCTCCTATTAACAATCTTTACTCTGTCGGGAGCCTAAGGGAGATATGAAAAGACAGCGCTGTCTCCTACAGGTATTTCGGGCACTTCATAACTGACAGGAGCATTAGCAAATCAATTAACAGACGATCCAAGCAAACAGCGTCCTCCCCAAGCAGAACACTGAGCTTGACACCGACTCCCGTCCTGTTGAGATGCCACCAATTGAACTAGCCAGAGTCTTGGGGAAGGTCATCAGGTCTCTGCGCACCGTTATTCACATTAGCAATCAGTGATAAACAAGCCAGAGAAGAATTGCCGAGCAAGGACCCAGCAATGTGCTGCTTAATGAATGCTCTATCTACAGCACTCATCATCTAGTCTCTCATCCTGCTAAATATGCAGTGACTCTACACGCCTACACAGAGAGTAACCCTCACCTTGCTTAATATACAGTCATTCTGCATACCTACGCAGTGAGTAACCCTTACCCTACTGAAAATACAACAACTCCGCTCAGTTACACAATACGTGACCCTCAGCCTGCAGAATATACAGCAAGTGTACAACTTCACCTCAAATAACTGATATTTGAGGCTTGAAACAACAGCTGCTGGAAGAAGTTATCTAGAGTTTGGGTTGATGCACATGTGCTCATATACCTGGGCTTGATATCTATAGTGATTTGTGAGCATTGTAAGCTGCTGCTGTTGAAACTCCAATTGGTGAGACCACCGCTCATTAAGTAGGGGTATGTCTGAGCTGTGTGCAGGTTGAGGTGGCAGTGATCTCATGCATTTCATGCGGAGTTGTGCTGTTTTTTAGGTCAACTGATTATCTTGACACATGCAAAAACCCATCAGCATACTAAAGAGTATCCAAACCATTCTGAGAATTTCAATGGATGCCAGTTATACATGAAAATGCCACTATCTGGAATGGAATGTGCACTCTCTTCCTGGGGGGAAGCACCCTGTTTACCTAACTCCAGTGAGTGTTAGTTGTAGGCTGGCAAGAGCCAGGGCTTGGGGGACACCAGAGTTGTACTGAGATATACTCCTTACCAAGAGTCTTGCAAACAGTTTCTGGCACCTAGTAAGGGTCAATTCTGCACTTGTCAGATGCCTAGAGATAAATTAATCTTCCTCAAAGGGGACTTAAGTGGAGTCTCCTTGAGTCTGGCGTGGTGTCAAGGAGACAAGCCTGGCAAAGGAGTATCAGAATCAAGTCAATTATCCATGACATTCTCAGTAGTCCGTTTCCTGAGCCGGGGGGTCCGCAGTCTTCCTGGGCACTGTTGATGACAACACTGTCTGGCTGGTTAGCAGGACTTGGAAGAGCAGACCAGTCACTGGATCTTCCCACTCTGCTCCTGTTAACCCTGCAAGCCAAAGCCCTAATGGGTACAGTGGTCCGAGGTGGACAAGCTGCGTAAAGGTTACCATATCGTGCCAGGCCAGGATGGTCAAAATCAGTTCAGTTCACTTCATGCTGTGCTATATTTCTTCTGCATCCGAGCTTTACTTATTAACTGGTTAATCTCAAGCAATGCCCGAGTCTTGGCTCTTACCAACCTTTACCTAATATCTGAATTAGATAAGCAGAGTGCGGAAAGAGCAACAGTGACCATTCCTGACACAGAGAAATTTCTATGTGTAGGTGGTATGTATATGTGGAACTCAGTCTGGTTTGAATAAATAAATAAATAAATAAATAGAAATAAACTCATAAACATAGTGATGGCTTTTCATGTGCATCAAATACTTGAACTGATCAAAAATCCCCTGCTGAATAAACACTATTGGATGCTGTTGCAAAAGAGAATGGCTGCTTCCAATAATCATCCAAATAAATTGGTCATTCACTTCATAGCTATATATGGCCCCTTACTCTGTGCAACTTGGCTGCTGCATCTACCTACAAATACCCAGGAACCACTCTTGACAGCAATTATCCATGAAGCGCTTTAAGATGTTATATAGGTAACAATAATAATAATCCTTGCATTTGATGTAGCTCCTTATCTCAAAGAGCGCCACAGAATATATTGTAAAGTTAATTGACAGTTTAATTTGTGAGCGAATCGCGCCAGCCAATTGCACACAGAAGGCACCCCACAAAAGTCATGGATTGAGTGACCAAACTATTATTTTTTTTTGAAGGGATTATTACCCCCAGAAAAGCGATCCCCCAATCAAACAACAAGTACTTACTGCTAGGCAAACAGAGACGTGAGAGGTAAGGAAACTTGCCCAACGTTTTGCCCTGCCCAGGAATCAAACCTAGGTCCTCTTGCTTGCGAGGCAAGTGTTCTAACCACTAAGCTACAGGACTCCGCGACAGGTACTGTATCAAACGCAAGGATTATTCTTTCACTTAGGGTTAGGGTTAGGATGCATAAAACAGAAAAATATTTTGTAATCATAAACTATCTTTATTGTTACGACAGTTTCCCTTCCACAGAGTTTGTGGCAACAAAATAATGTTAGTGATCTAGCACTGGTTATGGAAGCTTTCGATTTTGTGTTGTTTTATGGATATTTTGTC